GCCTCGATCCTGTGTATCAATCCGTGAATCCGTGAATCCGTGAATCCGTGAATCCGTGAATCCGTGAATCCGTGAATCCGTGAATCCGTGAATCCGTGAATCCGTGAATCCGTGAATCCGTGAATCCGTGAATCCGTGAATCCGTGAATCCGTGAATCCGTGAATCCGTGAATCCGTGAATCCGTGAAGTGCTTCCTATAACCTCTCGACTGAGCAGTGCTACACCCTTTTTTCACTTGTGCCTTTCAGGTGAACGACAGCCACTGACCGACAAGAACAAAACCGACCCGGGAAACTTGGGCAAAAGCCTCGATCCTGTGTATCAATCCGTGAATCCGTGTATGCCGATTTCTCTGAAGAACGACGATAGCTTTTCGAACCTATTTTTATGGCGGATGCATCCAGATGCCTGCATACATTCTGGTACCTAACTCCGTGATGACTTGGGGATAATTCACACCTTGAACAAAACGTCGTTTAGTGAATTCAGCTGAGCAATAGGCAGCGAAAAAAGCTAGCCAAGTGAGCAGCGATTTACGGCGTTGACCCTTTGGAGGCGCTGGTGTTGGAATTCCAAAGTTGTCTAAAAAACAGACGTACACAAAAGCAAGGAGTGGTGACATGAAGGAAGCCTAAAAACACTGACGAGACCGTCGTAGAGTGATGGTTGAACAGGCTTTCGTTGGAAATGTTCTGCTGTAATGTAGAATTTCCCTGTCGGTCCTCAAACGCAGTAGGTCATGGAGCATCGAAATGTGTTTGGTGCAGTCGTATGCTAATGAGACAACGAAAGATACGGCATGGAACCACAATCTCACTTACCTTTTAGGTAACATAATAATGTGCGTCATGACGAAGATCTGTTACCAGGCATCGACTTTCTGCCAGCGGTATACATATTTTACCATACCTAACGGATGTTGAACTGAATGTCTTTGATCTTTTGTGTTTAAATGAGCTCTAGGTCATTTCTAGGTGACTTTTCGAATAGGCGTCTGCATTTCTGCTGTCGCTAGTTTTTGGCTGTTTTTGGTGATGTCAGCTGTGAGGGTTCATCCATTTGGTGTGGATTCGGATTTATTGTCACGATGCAACCATTAGATGTGTCATGCAGGGTACCCTTTGGGAATATAAACTAAGGGCACTCTCCAAATTAACTGCTCTTTCAAACTTTAACGAGACCTAACATATTATCTGCACTCCAACTTTCTAAATGACCGAGCTCAGTACAATCGTTCAGTGTGCAGTTCCCGTGGGTTAATCGAATTTGTGAGTATGTTGCAGAGATTGTGTACTTCACCGAAAAGCAGCCGTTCCAAAAAACTTTATTCTTCGCAGACCTGCGCATCTCAAATGGGAAAAAATGCGAAGTCAGGCAGCTATCCGGATTATCCTGGCTACCCTCGCATATGTCCGAAGTCATCAAAGGTCAGACATCGCAGGAAACGTTCGAGTAAGTTCCCTGTCAATCGGATGCCTGTTGTTCCCTGTATGTGGTGGTGGCGTACTACTTATTTGCATTGTTCAATTCTTCTTCTTCGTTCCAAATGTCTAAGCGTCCCAGTGCTTAAGTATTTGGTTTACCGAATCAGACGAAGGCTGGACGCAGCTTACTGTATTTGTCTAATTTGAATAGGATGTATAGTCTACATGCAATGATGAATATGCATGAAAAGCTCGAGTTGACTTAATGATAGGCGCAACTGGTGTCAAGAAATTTCTTGCGTGTGGTATCATTTAAGCTCTCCGGCAGAATAAATCGACGAAACGCTTGTATTCAAGACGTCTTTCACTAACGCTTGATGAACAAATGCAGGAAGTAGACCTTTAAAGTCGGATAGGTGCGAGTCCACGTAATGACCCTGATTCCTGTGCGTGATTTATGGTGCTGTAAGAAATCACTTTGAAGTCGCTTAAAGTCTTCGGAGCAGTATTGTTTGAAGCGAGATGGCTCAGTTGTTACGGTGGGATTTTACGACCGAAAGTTCCGTGGTTCGAGGCCAACATCTGGGCAACCTGGCAGTATCCCCTCGTGCTTCCTTCGGGGAGCTTGGCAGCTAGACACCTAAGAGATGCTACAGCTGAACGATTATTAATGCAAGATAGCCCTTCTCATTCTTCAGTTGTTTTCAGCCATTTGCGTTTCGAGTACCAAAACCGTCCAATTTGATGCATAGTACAAAGCTGTGCTAATGCGTGGATCGGCTTCATCTGTCACGGTACACTTGGGCGCGTGAGGCCTCCGAGATACGTAATGGTTGAGAAGAATCCTAATTCTAATATTTCAAGGGACTCCCTGGAAACTGGCAATAATGAAGAACTTCCTTAATTTCGGAGTCGAAAAACGCATCTTGAAACATGGGCCCACTCCTGATATATACTGAGAATCGGCGCTCGTCTGTGACACCATTCCGGTGCATAGTTGCCATGTCACCCAAAGGAAGCATGCTTGCCCAGGTACTCAGACTAAATGGTTGTAAACACGAGACTATATAGATATGGGCAATCCACTCAGTTCATTGGTCTGTACCTGTCAGACCAAAATGCTAATGGTTGTCAAACAAAGCATTCTGACTATCCACCACTAAAAAGCTGTCCAATTAAGAGGAACTAAAGTTTCACGCTTAAAACTTTTGGAGGGTCATCTGTCCCGCCGGCGTTTCATGGTGAAAGGGCATGGTACTACTTCACAATCTTAAAGGCTGAAGTCACAGAACACCACCCGATTTGTTGGAATCGAATGAAAGCAACAGATACAAGGACATGCAAGCAACCAAGTTTTCAGGAACACTCCGCCCAGTCGTTCAGCTGTAACGTCCTAGCTGGCATGTCGCCCATTGGTCAAGATTATGACCAACGATGAGGTATAGCAGTTTCCGGACTGCCCACTATTTCCGGAAGTGTTCGATTATGCTCGAAGGTCCGCGGTTAAAACCCGATCTCTGCCTTTTGACTTCCCCTGTCTGGGCTTGGGCAACCTGGTAGTATCTCAGCTTCCTCCGGGTTGCAGGGCAGCTACGCACCGGAAGGGTGTTACAGGTGAACTAGGTTTCTCTATCGACAGGAGGTTGCACTTGGGCTGACATCCAACGGACATGGTTCGGCACTAGAATAGACACATTGTATGTACAAGCAATAGTAGCCATTTTAATCTATGATGCTTTTTGGAGTCTCTTACATTAAGTGTGGTGGTAGTTATCGGGTCCAAGAAGGCATTTGAAATCCGCAGGTGCAAACCTTAAGGTCTCACGTAGGTTGATCTGATTATTCGTTGGACATTTGCCCCGGTGTTTTCCGGTGGCCAAGCAAGCGGCTTGTTTCTCAGGTTTTGCGCGAAAATTCCTTGAAAGTTGCCGCTAGACTAAAGCATGACCTGAGTAAAGCTAGTTCCGGAAAATTGGGTAATCACTATTAGAACCTCCGTCAGGAGCTGATTTCTGTAGCTGAGCGCAACGAGGTGTGAACCTCTGACCGCAAGGCTTGTGGTTCGAACCCAACCCAACGGCAGTGAAGCATCGGTGTACGGCAGTGAAGCAAAGAACCAAAGAATCCGGTGCTGCTCAAAAGGCACCTGCTGTGTGGTGTGGCACTGGGAGTGAGACAGTAATACCCAACTCCCTGCGCCCTCGGGCCAAACCGGCAAAGAACCAAGAATCCGGTGCTGCTCAAAAGGCACCTGCTGTGTGCAGCTGCACTGGGAGTGAGACAGTAATACCCAACTCCCTGCGCCCTCGGGCCAAACCGACCCACCACAGCCAAGTGGGCCAGATTGCTGAATCAGTGGCTCTGTGAAGGGTCCTCCGAGAGAACCTTAATAACCGCTGTCTCGCGGTTCAGACTCTTCAGTTAGAGGCTAGGGTCAAGGTCTCCGAGCAGAATCCAAGTCCCCCACTGCTTTGTGGGTCAGACTTGAGTCAAACGCTCATGGTGGGGTACCTGAACTCAACCCCCTTCTTCGGCATTGGCAACCGGCCCTTGCAGCTCTTCGCCCACTGGCCTCCCTCACTCCCCACCCATTGTACAATGTAGTGCAATCTATCCATCTGCCAATTATCTAGCCACTGTTCCGTGTCTCAACTCTCACCCAGAAAAATAAACCAAAATATTTATTTACCAACCTCAAAAGATCTGGTCCAACTTACAGCCTTTACTGTCCGTCCTCTATGTCAAATTGGTCAACAGGCAACCCTTGCTGAAACTTTACTTTTCCTCTCTATCAATATATGTTAAGTCTCCAAAACACGCATACAAGACCCCACTTCGCTCCTACTTTTCAAGCCGCTTAGAGCGAGCCCAGATGTTCTACGTTTCACTCTTCGGGCATCTGGTGATCCTGACGTAATGGCTCGTGTTATGTATGATGTGAAATTTGCACTTAGCCCCAAGGCTGTAAGAGTTACTAGACTGGACCCCAGTGAACATTCGCCCATGCGCTATGCGGTTTTCTGGCTCAATTAAGAATAACGCAGGTCGATGCGGTAAACGGTATTTGTTTGTCCCATCAGCATATGCCCCAACAGATAGCAGTCTGAGACTGAGTAGGACGAGTTTTATCAATATCTGTCAGGACTGCTACGGTCGACAAGAAGGGCAGATATAGTTGTCCTGGCCGGTAATATGAATCCCCAAGTTGGGCGACTAAGTCTGGAGGAAGCTCAATTGGGTGGTAGATCTGGATTCGTTGCTGAGCGTACGGATAATGGGGAGCTTCTTCTTCAGTTGTGTGCAGATCATCGTCTGTTCCTGGAGAGTACGAAATTCCAACACAAACCCTCACCGAGTTACTTGGAGGCCACCTACCGCAAGACAGCCGTGGACTAAATTGGACCACATGGCTATCAGTTACCAACCCACCAACAACAACCGAAATCCAGTGTGAGATTTCAATCCTGAAGCTCGATAAGGCACCTGGTCCGAATGCTCTACACCTCGTACTTTTCAGAGAAGGTGGTGAGGTCCTGGTGAACAGTATGGCGACCATACTGTAGAAAATTCGGAACGAAAACAGAATAGCAACCGAATGGAGCTCCTTTACCGTCATCCCATTTTTCAAAAATAAGCAAGAACGTCATGTGAAAACCATCGTAGTATCAGATTGGTTTGCATTGCATCTAAGGTGCTTTCTGGCAGTATTTAGCCAACGTTGATGGATAATCGGGAGAGACAGGTTTATGAGAATCAAGATGGATTGCGCCCTGGTCGAGGATGTATCGACCATATCTTCACCTTGAGACGAATCATTGAGCCCCGCCACTCCACGGCGAGCTCTCCAAAAGCTTCAGTAAACAAAGCGGTGTCCGTCAAAGGTGTCCACTCGCTCCATTCTTGTGTAATTTCTTGATCGGCGTGATAGTGTGACGAACGGTGGAAGAGCTTCAAAACCCCAGGGTTCAAACAGCCTATGACGAAAACCTTGGCGATCTGGAATATACAGACATATTTCTCGTCTTTGAACAGCGGTTGAAGGTGGTGTTTTTAGCTAACCAGTCATTCCGTCGTTTAGCGTGCACTTTGCACCCACAAAGTGTGAGGTCATGTTCCTGGGCATGCAGTCACCAAACACGCCGCTTACAATCCATAGAGAGGCACTCGAAGTTGTGGAGCGTTTTAAATGCCTTGTTGTGTTAGTTCTGATTGTAGTGCACGAATCTGCAAGGCCCGGGTCGCGTTTTCTAATTTGAGACATATATGGCGTCAAAACGGTGTGTCTCTGAATCTCAAGGAACGTGTGTGGGCTGTTTTGTTGTATGGCTTTGAGGCTTGACTTATTCGAGCAGTGGAGCTGATTTATCCTCAGATCTTCGACAGCTGTTATCTCAGGACCGTAGCTCGTATGGGCTAGTGTGGGTGAATCCGTAACAGGACAGTTAGAGAGCGAGTTGTCGACTTTGCAACGGGGGCTTACATTGAAGAGGCTTTGTTTAGGCCGGTCAGCCCTCACGCTTCCTTGGGGTAGCATGGCAGCTAGACACTGAATGAGTGTTACGGCTGAACGATGTTTTTTATTATGCACTGAAACTGGATGCAACGACGGGTCCGTTTGATGGGTGGCCATCAAGACTGACGTGTGCATATTTGGGCTCTGTGATCACCTATTGGGTGTTAGGTGATAAAGGATGATGCGAAGCATCAATGAAAGCCTAATTCTTACTCGTCCGGCTTGATGTGAGAAACTTACATGCTTTCGGGGTTCTTGGTTGTTGGTGGGCTTAGCTACTGCAAGTGCACCGAAACCCGAACAGGGTGGCAGCTAGGGTCTTCACAAATGTGCTTAGATTCGGAGGCCTTGCCTCGCAACGATAGTGTTTGATGCACAAGCATTTAAACAGCCCAACCTGAGGTGTAGGCACCTCAGAATGGTTGACACAGGCCAGCACTAGGTCCCCCCCTTCGCTCAATTTTTCTCTTTTCACTCTAGAGGAACCTTATGGTCGTAAGGCAGTGAAGCATCAGTGTCAACACTGATGCTGCTGCTGCTGCTCCTGACCTGTCGTGGAGGCTCAAGGACGGTCACCACACTATGGTTCAATCTCTCTGTTTCAGCAGCACAGATTATGGCTGGGTGAAGCGGGTCCCAAAGGTTCCGCCCGTTCAGACTGACCGGAAATTCACCGGAGAAATTCACTAAACCTAGCTGATCATTACGACCTTTTAGGACATCTGCTCACTACGCCTCAGGACCGAATGGACTGCATCCTATTCTTATGCAGCGCGCCACCTGCAGGAAGCACGATGGCCGGGATACTTCCAGGTTGCCCAAGCCTAGACAGAGGAAGTCGAGAGGCAGAGGTCGGATTCGAACCACGGACCTTCTAGTCAGTAACTTTGCGCTCTAACCACTGAGCTATCTCAAATATGAGTGAGCCGGTTCGCCAATATCATTATTTTTGTAACGATCGTCTAGGGTACGAAAAGTAAACTTGTAAACCGCATCCTTTTCTTATTATTATGGTTGCATGAACATCCATGTATATAACTTTACCTCCCGTCATGTGACTTAAATGTAGACATTTCGAAGCCATCTCTCTTATTCTCTTTTTCCTCTTAGCCGCCGTGAGAAAGAATCGACGTCTATCGGGATGCCCAATACTGAAACCACAAACTCAAGGCAACTCCGAGGTAAGATGAGTAGTGGCTTATCGTTTACATATCGCTTTTTCTGGAACGCATGTTTTTTATTGCCAAGTCTCGGAGACCTTGACTGACTCCCTCATGAATGTTACCTCTTTGATGTTGTAACAGGACGTTTTATTTGAGTATATACAAGTATCCAACACAGCACTCCTCTATGCGGACCGACGTTTCCATCATTTTATGGATAAACCACCTACAGGACTGCAGGGCCGATTATGGAATGTAGATATTGACAATTTTCATGAATTCCAGCACATCTCAACTGAAAAAAATGACGCAATCATTTGCGTCGACCTATTTCATAAGCCGTTTTCCACGCCACCATGGTTAATTCGTATATCTTTTATAGGGTGCTGATTGCTTACTTGCAAGAAACCGTGACTTTCCTGTTGGAACTTTTCTAATTGTTACACCTAATCAGCTGGATTTGTTCCCATTAGTTAGTCATTTGACGTTTTTCTCTTCATTTGAGAGTTGTTCAGACGGCCGCATGTTGCAAACAGAAGTGTTCGCTTGTACAGAAGGCTTACAGTAGTCTCGCTCTTCAATGGGTTGGGGGCGTCCTAGGGGAGAGAAGCACGGATACAAAACAGCTGGGTGAATTCTATTTCTTAAGGGCATGTATCAGTGGATCTATATCTTCCCCAATTATCCAAATAGGACAGCCCATCATGCATGTACTTTTTGGACATGTGTCGATGACCTTCACAGCTGTAAGTTCTAATACACTTTGTAGTTATCAGCTCATCATTTTCCTCATTTCTGTCTTTTACTTTTCTAGCCTCATGACGACCCGGGCTATGTCCGTGCTTCCCACCCGCCTCCACGGTTGCGAGCCAAGACAGTTGGTCATAGGTCGGATCTTCGTGTTCCATGTGCCCCAGTTTCATCCAGTCCTCATCCCAAATGTCTCCCGGTACACTGTGATCCATCACATCACAACCTCAGAACGACTCACTGTACAACAGTAACTAACATCCCTTCCATTCCGATCCCAACAGAGGCAGCCCTCGGGTCAGATTCACTCACCATCTCCGACTCGTTTCCCCCTTCTAATCCTGTTCCAACTCATCTCCATCCTTATATGAACCATATTCCTGTATCGAATAACTCTGATCCGGTGGTAGTAGACGAGAATTTTCAAGCATCTTCCCACCCGACCGCACTCGATTGCCTAGAAATTCCATCGAAGTCTGCATCGCGTGACTGCTGCGAGCATCATACGAATGGAGGTGATGAGGGTGTAATGCATGAACAAGATCAGTTAAGTGAAACGTCTTCAACTAGTCACAACGAACTGGCTGCCGAGATTTCAGCGATCGAGGAGGAGGAAACAGATGACTTTGATGAGTCAGATGCGTGAGTTTCCCTTATAACTTCATTTGCTTCGTTTTTTTCATTGAATGATAACAAGAACCCCTGACTTGAGCACCCTTGGGGAAACACCAGGAAGTTCTGTAAGGCTTTAGCTGAAACATCCAGGCGGGTTCCTGTACGGTTGGTCAGTTTTCATAGCCACCAGCTGCCTTACTTTCGACGGAATTTCAGTCTGATCCGTACTCACCGTTGAGGTCATGCTGATCTGTTTTGTTTGATTCACGCTGTCCAAGCCCACGACTATCGAGAGGGATAGTGTAGACGGAAGGCCCTTGATGTAGAGGTAAGAGTCGTATACTGGATTGGAGACACACGACCGCTCTCATCGATACTAACATTTTCAGATATGCGGGGGGGGGGCGAGATGGCTCGTCCAACTGGAGACTAGGTGTACCAGGGAGGCTTGCTTAATAGAACTGTTATGGTCTCCACTGACGTATCAATCAACCTTGCCAGTTACACCGCAATCGAGAAGGCCTTGAGGTCATTGTACTGGAAACAACTGAAGCGTTCCGTGATGTGGATTCAAATGAACTAGAAGTTAAAAAATCGGACAGTCCACTAAGGTACCAATAAAAGGCTGAAATGGAAAAAACGAGGCTTCGGTCTGCAAGATAAATCGTCAGAAAAATGGATTTGTTCGTCTGGAGGCAGTATTCCTAATAGGAATCTGGGGTTTGAAAAATTAACATGCACGACGTACGTACGACCGTAAACTGTTTCAGACTGCCAATTAATTTCAGATCCTTTCATGCAACTATGGTAAGAGCGCGAATTTACCGACCGGAAGGTTCGTGGTTCGAACCCGACCTCTGCCTCTCGACCCCCTCTGTCTAGTCTTCGACAACCTAGTACTTTTACAGTCTTCGTGCTTCCTTCTAGGCACCGAAAGGGTGCTACAGCTGAATGGTTTATTTTAGGCGCATGTATCCCGCAAAGACCACGAAGGCAGATTAGGTTGTCTCCGTTGGGGGTGACTATCTAAGAGATTCAATCAAGGTTTTCTCCTGGAGGTTATTTCTGCGCAGATAGAATCCAGCAGTCTTCTAGGCTTGGACAGTGGATATCCAGAAGCTAGGAATGGAATTCCAGCTGGTAGCGTACTGAGGTGGTCACTCCGTACTGTTTTTTCTAAATCCAGGCATCCTGATGCAAATTATTTACTGCTCTCTCTCCCTTTCGCCGTCGTCGTCTGCCAGTTTTCACCAAAAAAAAGTTGTCATACACACCCGTTGGAAGTCTAGTTTTAAATCTTTTAGTACATTTCCCTGACGTCTTGAGGTTCAATGTTTCAACTCGTACGCCAGATGATCTTCTCCACTGAAGGTTGATAAACTGAAAAAAAATCAAGATGGGTCGATCAGTATGATCAACTCACGTCGAGTGAGCAACCCTAATCTGATCCGGCAGTGACGTAAGTGTACGCGCATTCTGAGTGGTCATATAGTAGGCAGAACTCCGCTTATCGACAGAAAATGAAATCCTGACTAATGCTTTGCAGAGAATTCCGGGTGCGTGATTGGTACTCTGTCAGCCTGTTAGGGCTGTTTCGGCCCAAATCATCGATGGACGGAATTGCGGCAGCCAAAACCACTGGGCGAGAAGTGCGCTGTTCTTACAGCTGACAATGATGATCTATTTGATGATGTCCTGGGGAACCCTGATAATGATGAGGCTTGTGAAGATCGTCAACAGCAACTTCAGTTGCTTTGGTGCTTATCGCCTCTGTAGATGGGAACCCTGGTACGGCACTCGTCGGTGGTTAGAAACACCAAATTTCCTTCCTGTTTCAGTTCCGTTTGGCATCTGAGGTATAAAACATGTACCAAGGATACGTTGGTTCCAGTTGCCAGAGTTTCACTTACCGAAAAATGTCTGCGTAGAGGTGCTCTATCGTGCTGAACGGTAGTGCAACTCTCTATCGGTTTCTATCGTGCTGAACGGTAGTGCAACTCCCTACCGATCCCTTGGCTTCCTGCTTCGCCTATTATGGTATACCAAAAGGCACGGTAGCTCTACACAACCCTTTATGGAGACAAATGGAAATTATTACAACTGTATTTATAGGGTAGTCACAGTGTTCCACAAGGTCGTGCCAGAATCTCTGTGAGGGGGCGATAATCGTCGAGTCAAAGATGCTCGATCCGGATTGGCTGGCATACTTGCCAGTCAGGGCATGCCTTCGTTTGGTCGTGCACGTGAAACATCCGTCCAAATGATGTGATGTTCGGTTCCAAGGGACGGCTGGCCTCCGAACAAGATGAGATGGTTTAATCAGTTTGTTGTTGTTGACGCGTTACTTGTTCGAACAAACGAAAAACTGGGCAGCTACGAGTTGAAGGTTTTGCTACTGGCGCACCATCGACTATTTGACTTAACCTTGTCTGCTAGTGTCATTAATCACCGGTCAGTTGAATCCCGGGGTTCTTATCCAGGGAGGCAGCAGTTGCCAACCCGATTGAGTTTACGGGCTAATGCTTTCATGCTCTTTTGCTAGGCCATTGACTGATCACCTCTCGATCACCCGTATTCAGCACAGGGCTCGACGAAGGGCTCTTCGAAGCAAACAGTCCCCTGTCATGAAAGTGAATGAAGCATGAATAGCTCATCTGTCTTGAGAGAATTCCTTCCTTGTAAAACCTGACACACCCCAGCACTGCTAATTCAATGTTACCATCAGAGCCGGTCAATATTTCAGAGATACCGTTAGCCGAACAGCAAGTTTTCCTACACCCTATATGTACAGAGGCCACGTTTATGACTTGGTAGAACGATTTTCGGTTAGTACCGATCACTCTCCGAGGTCAGTTTGGGTACATTTTACTTCTGTTGGCCTCTTTGCAGCCGCGTTGTACAAAACTGTGGTGAACGCAAACGATGACAGTGTTTTGTGATATGAATTGTAAGCACCGTTATCGTATCTCACCATACAGCCCGATGTAATGTGCGTCTTGAGTTACGCTTGCTGGCGGTACAGCAGCTGACGATAACTGTCAGAGTTGTGCAATCTTACCAAACAAGAAGAACGTGATTTCAGAAGAGCTTGGTTTCTTACCAAACAAGAAGAACATGGCTTCGTTCGGTTTCGAGATGACGTGCTTTTCGAGGGAAGCACTGTTCTCGTTATCTAGTCTTGCTGACCTTCAGTGGCTTCCACTTTGCCCTACAGGTTTTTAGACAGTCTCATTGCTTGGCGGCGTATGTTCACATTAAGTACGCTGAAATCTGTTCACCTGCAACCGGTCAGTCTGTACATACATTCATTCTTGCTACTGTTTGTCGAATCAGTACTTCGCATTGATAGCTTTGTCAATCTCCTGTTGTTTCATCGCCCGCTCGCCAGCGTACTCTACCTTACTCGAACAATATGATATTACTAGTCTTTTTTACAACAAAATTACTGCGTGCCTGCATTTTTCTTTTCACTGAGACGTTCAACGACGGGAACTAAACTGACAGTGTAATGCGTTATTCGTCTTGCCAGTGTACCCCATTGAGGATTATCCTGGATCTCTAACTGTTTCTGTTTTCTTAGTGTAATCCTTTTCTCGTATTCCTATTTTTTCCAGCTACGCGTTCATACACAGTCTGCCGCCAGTTTCGCCGGAATTGAGTTATCAGCTCCCTGCATTACCAAAGCGAACCCGTTCGGCGCCAGAGTTTTGCCTGGTTCTTGATTTGGACGAAACTCTTGTTCATTGCAGCCTAACACCGTTACCGGATGCCCAGTTCATATTTCAAGTTGTGTTTCAAGGAGTCGTTTATATGGTAAGTTGTGCACACACACACTCACATCCCTATTTTTGTATACGGACCATCCCCAGTCCGTATTTCGTGCTTTTAGGTGTTTAAAAAAATAAATCGTTCAACTGTAGCACTCTTTCAGTGCCTAGCTGCCATGCCGTCCAAAGAAAGCACAAGGACTGGGATACTGCCAGGTTGCCCAAGGTTAGACAGGGGAAGTCTAGAGGCAGAGGTCGGGTTCGAACCACGGACCTCCCGTTCAGCAAATTCGCCCCCTAACCACTTTGTCCGTCTCGCCCTCCATCTTTAGTTTTTACTGCACTTACTACGTGGCAACTGCCCATTGCCTTTGGGCCACATTCTGTTAATAATCCCCCATCGGAGCCGCTCAGTTTACATAAGTCATTCTCAAACTTTTCGGCTCATCGACCCTTTGGCTCCCCGCTCTCAGATATACACTATGCATTGCGTGTGAGCTGTGATAAAGTCTGTGAAGTCTCCCTTCGTGAGGCCTGCCCACTCTGGAGCGTACTCAATGATCCCCCGTCAGTCACAAAATAGAATGCGATATTTCCAATGACGGACTGCTAGCAGGCGAGTCTGAGTAACCTCTTTTCGTGATATCCTGTCTTGTACACAAGAACTGATGACCAATGCACTGGGTCAGTTCGATGAATGCGCACGTCTTCATAATATCAGGATGGTGGTAGCTGAGAGAACGTTGCTATTCTTAAGCGGAATCATGTTGATTGTATTGAAAACTTTTCTCGATGGGGCATCATTTATGGTGAGTTCCGGAAAACTCCCCGAACCATCGGTGAACGAAACTGTAGCAGCTACAACCATTGTACGGCACGTACGCGGTTATTACAGCTAACAATAATGATGATGATGCTGATGAGTTCCGGGAAACCGGTGTTAGCCCAAGGTCATTTCTAAGACCAGTATATTTCCAACATACCAGAAACTTGGTTAATTGTCATTGATTGAGTTCCTTTCAAATGATACAATGTAGTCACAAATGCGTGGTAAAAACCTGCTCTGGGCAAGCGGACCTACCCAACGAGCCAACACTGTCTACTTGGGGGGTGGCATGATTGCTTCTCCTATACAGCACCAGTTCGACCACAGGGTGGATCCCTTAGTAGTGAACAGGCTCAGACGATCAAGAACCACGTTCCACTAGTTTACTACGATGAGCAGAATGGATGGCTTTTTTACTAAGCCAAACAGCCCACAAATATTTGCCATAGGAAACATTCAAAATCATAGGTCCGTCACATGGGTAGCAATTTTGTCACTCAAGAACTGCCGCAATGTTTTCGGCGATGACGACGTTCATGGTAGAATATACAGCCACAAACTGAGGTCTACAAGAAACCCCTTTTTAAACTACTATACCACATACAAAAGTGCATTCGAACATTGTTGAAGTGCATCGAAACATTACAACACCACGGAAGCCAAAGTCAGTGAAAAAGATTTTTATTTCAAGTCTTCTGAGTGTAGATGCAAAATACTAACTTGCTTTTGGGCTAGATGGCCCAAGTGGTTAGAGCGCGAATCTACTGACCGGAAGGTTCGAATCCCACCTCTGCCTCTCTGGCTTGGGCAACCTGGCAGTATCCCAGCCCTCGTGCAACCTTCGGGTGACATGGCAGTTAGGCACCGAAAGGGTGCTACAGCTGAACGGACTGTATCGCTGCACTGAAAGGGCTCTACGATTGGACCATTTTTATCTGAGGAAAAAGACGCAATTCAATGAACGAATCTACTACCGTGTGTCAAAAACATTCCTAAAGTGATTGCAACAGCGTTCTAGCAGTATAATGCAACGGCAGCCTACAAGCTTAGGAGCACACTTCGGAAAGCATTATCAAAACAAACAAACACTGGGAACCACGAAGAAGACCGACATTATGATACACAAAATTTGGTGCAAGGATCGCGACAAGTAGAACAAACGGCACTGGATGGACAACAATAACTCATTAGGAGACAGTCAATTTTCCCTTGTCTTCGCACACGAAAATCTAGGAGTTCAAAAATTTAACTGAAGCCACATCCATATACTAACTTGAACAAAAACAAAAACGAACGTGAATTTATGCAGACATGGTAATTGACCGGTAAATCGATCACCAGGGCATATTAACTGGATAACCGGGAGGTTATACTCCGCGCTTTCGACTATCTCCACTCCTAGGCCTTTCAACTCGCTGTTATTTTACACTCTACTCGAGTGGTATCCAATCAACATCCCTATATATTTTGTCCAATGAGCAACAGGCCTTTGTCGTTCGGTCCTGTATACTGCCCAATGATTATCTCCCGTTTTAGCCTCTTCCTTATTTGTGTCCGCTGGATGAGAACGACTCAGCTGTTCTGTCTGTATTTGTATTCCCCAAACATTATAATAACCGCTGTAATTCGGTTCCCAAAAGCACAAACTCGGATTTCACCGCAAGGTAGTTTTTTTTACCTCACTTCTTACTTGCTTACTTGTTCCCCTCACATTGCTATCCCACAGGTCTATGTACGCATACGTCCTCATCTGTACGAGTTTCTGTCACGCGTTTCCGAACGCTTTGAAGTAGTTCTATTCACTGCAAGCACCAAAGTCTACGCGGATCGTCTGGTCAACTTGATCGATCCGAAGAAAAAGTGGATAAAGTACGTTTTTATGCTGTCGCCCTTCTCATTGCTGTCGGTCCTGTTACGTAGATTACACACTTGACTGTTTTCTATTGATAATTGGAGGAGATTAGGGTATTTTCAATCAAAATTTCGTTCTTTGAGTGAAGTCAATGTGTACCGGAAGGTTGCGCGTGTGAATCTTCATGGGATTCGCGAGGTGCGCGTTGATGGTGATTTCCAATGAGGATGAAGCAGCTGTACAATGTTTCTCGGTTTCCCACCTAGATTTTCTTGAGTTAAAGGACAAAATCTCGATTGAAAATATCGCTGTTTCTGTTTGACTAAGCTAGGTCTTACTGGGTGAGAGTTCCTCGTTTGACCACAAGGGCGGTCTATCACGTGAGCTGCCGTAAACTGCTGCTTTATGTCCCATGGTTTTTCAGTAAAATGCTCGAACTAGAGGGAAGGTAGTGATGAACCCCAAGAAGGGCGAAGCCGGTCGTGGGCTGTTCAGGAGTTTTCAGCAATCTTATGAGTAGTACATTACAAAGATAGAGGGAAGGTACTTTTGTTTGTTGTCTCCCTGAATTTGTAGAAGGTGAGTTGCTTGCGAGCGTGGTCGATCAAGGTTGTATAGCATCAGTGTTGAACACTGATGTCATGCCGTCGATGATGATGATGATGATGATCGATTAAGTGTGTGGCTACCCCGACTACGAACCTTCGAGTTCGGTGTAGTGTTACAAGAGATTCTGGACTAAGTCGTCGATCGTCGTTCGAGTGGTCCTGAACCATGGTGTCACCTGGGGCTTCCTTGCAGCCTCTGGTAGTCACAAGTTACCGGAATCAACTCATTTGCATCAAGTTCTTGGGTTTATGTTCCAGATGACTTTTGCAGTCACTACGTTCTCGGCTCTCTGGAGGTGAGTCGCTTGAAATGGCTGGACTTCACATCTACCGGACGACCTCAAATCAGGTGAATCTAATTATATCCAAACGCATGCTGGTTGGTCAGGATATCGAATTGTCGGGGTCAGAAACTTTAGCTAGTCTTAAGTCGACGCTTTATGCATGTGTTCTGCTATGCGCTGTTCTAGCGAGTCAGCGATGACTTTGAGCGTTGCACAGTCACCAGCGCGAACGCGACCCACACGGTCATGTAACCGACTGCTATAACCCGAAAATGGCCTCGCTAATCGCTGTTCCCTACAGTCGATTCTAAGCACCACCTTCCGCTTTCACAGTGACCTTATAGGTTAGTACTTTCGAGAACAGCTGCTCTGGTGGCACATTATTGTTCGCGAGGTTACCGAAAATCACAATGCTTCCTGGTTTCTCGTCAAACGATGTTTTTAGATAAGAACGCTTGATGTCCCTTCTAGTAACCTGTCATCCCACTCTACCTGGTTGGACCAACTTCACTCGCCAAGACTCCATTGACATTTTAATTCCCGTGAATTTTCCGCTACTTTTGCAATTCCTATTTTATTTAGTTTCTTCGCAGTGAGAATATTTGTTGTTTTTCGCGCACTATACTGCATAATTTGAGGGGGGTGTCAGCTACCTTCTGTCTTCATTAACGGTTTTTCTTCGGTTTATTAACTAAAATGTTTGGTTGCTCTTTCCACTCACCCTAACATAGACACAGGCTCTTCCGTGAACATTGTGTGTGCGTGAACGGAAATTATGTTAAGGACCTTCGAGTGTTGGGAAGGGATTTGCGCAAGACCGTCATCGTGGATAACTCCCCCCAAGCATTCGGCTATCAGGTGAGTCGATATTCTGCGCTCTCCCATGCATGCACACACGCACATACACACGCATCTTACTTATCCACGAAATTTTTGAGACTTTTTCTCAAAGCTGTATAGCATCAGTCCTTATTACTGCCGTATTAATACTTATTAGTACTTATTAGTACTTATTAATACTACTACTACTATTACGAATTATAATATTCAGTCATCACCACGAGATGGAGTTATTCAGCCCCTATGATAATTCACTATGCCTTCTATAACCGTTCACCATATGGTCACTTTTGTTTCCTAGCTTGATAACGGGGTACCAATCGAAAGCTGGTTCGTCGATTCAAACGATCGGGAACTATTGAATCTTCTGCCCTTCCTTTTCGAAGTTTCAAAGGCGGTAAGTCCCTGCTCACTGCTTTCTGGAGAGCCTAGTTGTTGGGTCACATTTTGTCTCATATCACGAACATGAGTCTGTCAAGTAGTACTCCTTCAAGTTTTGTTTGGACCTTTTTTCAGGAATCCCTCCGCCCATTATTGTGACAACCAGTCATATGACTCGGCCTTTGAGTTGTACATCTCTCGAACATTTCTTCCTACTTTGTTTAAATGTGCACATGATTCTGAACTCATTGGTTTCGAGTACTCAATTATCGTGGGCAGCGCTATCGTGCCGTTGACATGTACACCTCTTGAACATGATTATGATTACCTACAACTTCGTCGAAGGCCTTGGAATACCGTGTGTGTGTGCGGAATATCTTTGGGCTCAAGTAGAACACAAGGTTGACGGAAACTCGGGGACTGCACCTAACTGATCAACCCCAAGAAGGGTGAAACCGGTCGTGGGTCGTCGAAGAGTTTTTAGCAACCTTGTGAATAGTTTCCTTTGTGAAAATATCTTCGAATCCTGTATATTTTGGATTTTCAATTTTGGGCAAAGGTTTTATTCTACAGCTTAGAGAATCCAGAATGCCCGTTAGTAACAGACGGTGTCTGCCAACAAACACACCGTCATATATTCCTCATAGTTCAAGTACATCTTTGGCATGCTTTTGGTCAGTGTTATACACCTCAAAATTCCGACATTGTTGTCGTGTGTTGGTTTGAAACCCCTCAAAAGTATGGAACACAAAGTTGGCAGTGGCATATTATCTTCCTACTCCGATGGGTTTGGGAATCGTGTTGTGAACTAATTGGCTAACTTAACACCCGTATGTTCTTAAACACGCGTTGATTGCGTCATACCGACGAATGTTTTGGATGAATTGTCATGTGGGAATAATATGTTTCTAGCTGGGGCCTTCACTATGCATCATAGGCCAAAATATCGTTCAACTGTAGCACCCTTTCGGCGCCTAACTGCCATGCCACCCGAAGGTAGCACAAGGTAGCTGTGATACTGACAGGTTGCCCAAGACTAGATAAGGAAAGTCGAGAGGTAGAGATCGGGTGCGAACTACGGACCTTCCGATAAGTAGCTTCGTGTTCTAACCACTGGCTAGTGACAACGGCTCCACTATTCTAGCACACTCTTCGTGGTCGTATGTTCCGCAACGCAGAGCTCGACAATGCTTTGTGAACCTGACTCAGTTGGAGCCAGAATGCTCTCGTCAGCTTATCCTTGATGTGTTGAATCACTGGTTGTTAGACCATTTAGACTTAGTAACAGACTGTACATTTTTTCAAGCTATCTGTCCTAATCTCTAATTCTGGTATTCAGTCCTTTGGGGAACACCTCAAAGAATATGGCGAGGATCAGCTCAGTTTGCGGATCAGTTTTCGTTTTCCTATTGCAGTATCTCGGTTAGACTGTGTACATATCTCTTTAGCCGATCTAAGTGATACGACCTACTTGGTCAACGCCACCCAAATGCCACAAGTAGCATTTCTTACGGTTCCCATGAACCAACCAGGCTTTTCGTGCCATATAAGCGGTAGGGTGATCAGGAGTCAGCACAAACAGCCGTCTGGCGGTAGTGGATAGTCTTTCCATAGGGGAGGTCTTTTTGAGAACGAAATTCAATCAATCTGTGACGATAAAAATCACAGTATTTGGCTTACCTCCGTCTTCGCGTTGTATAAGGCGAGGGAATCGCGCACCATACATCGAGAGAGGAAATGTGAGTCAATTGTGCCAATACACCATGGTACTCTTAAAACGGATCCAGGATAGCCGTTGAATTTTTCACTTCCGTAATTTCCCGACATCGTACATTCTGTTGTTGTAGGACGACGTTCGTCCCCTGATTGTCGATCGGTTTCGGCTCCACGAGAAGGTTCTCGCCGCTGCATCGCTCTCCTCGTCGGCATCCTCACCGTCGTCGCCAACCTGAAGTCACACAGTTGACTAACTGGACCGAGAGGTAGAGATCGGGTGCGAACTACGGACCTTCCGATAAGTAGCTTCGTGTTCTAACCACTGGCTAGTGACAACGGCTCCACTATTCTAGCACACTCTTCGTGGTCGTATGTTCCGCAACGCAGAGCTCGACAATGCTTTGTGAACCTGACTCAGTTGGAGCCAGAATGCTCTCGTCAGCTTATCCTTGATGTGTTGAATCACTGGTTGTTAGACCATTTAGACTTAGTAACAGACTGTACATTTTTTCAAGCTATCTGTCCTAATCTCTAATTCTGGTATTCAGTCCTTTGGGGAACACCTCAAAGAATATGGCGAGGATCAGCTCAGTTTGCGGATCAGTTTTCGTTTTCCTATTGCAGTATCTCGGTTAGACTGTGTACATATCTCTTTAGCCGATCTAAGTGATACGACCTACTTGGTCAACGCCACCCAAATGCCACAAGTAGCATTTCTTACGGTTCCCATGAACCAACCAGGCTTTTCGTGCCATATAAGCGGTAGGGTGATCAGGAGTCAGCACAAACAGCCGTCTGGCGGTAGTGGATAGTCTTTCCATAGGGGAGGTCTTTTTGAGAACGAAATTCAATCAATCTGTGACGATAAAAATCACAGTATTTGGCTTACCTCCGTCTTCGCGTTGTATAAGGCGAGGGAATCGCGCACCATACATCGAGAGAGGAAATGTGAGTCAATTGTGCCAATACACCATGGTACTCTTAAAACGGATCCAGGATAGCCGTTGAATTTTTCACTTCCGTAATTTCCCGACATCGTACATTCTGTTGTTGTAGGACGACGTTCGTCCCCTGATTGTCGATCGGTTTCGGCTCCACGAGAAGGTTCTCGCCGCTGCATCGCTCTCCTCGTCGGCATCCTCACCGTCGTCGCCAACCTGAAGTCACACAGTTGACTAACTGGACACAATAATATCTCTTGTTGGTCGTCTGTTTGAAGTGCATCTACGCTGCGGTGTTGATGTGTTGTTTAGCTTCCTCACAAACAAACCAAATCCTCAACACCCCGGTTCTATCCAGCTTGCATTCACGTCTCTAGACAATCCCTCAGCATTGTTATCCCACATCTACTAATATCTATCGCTGCGAATATCCCTAATTACCGGAGCCTATATATATACATATATGAATATATCATCTGAGATATTCGTTCAGCCATATGATTTCGTGATATTTACGCTAATTTTACTTTCCCATATTACTACTACTACTGGTACTATTAAGTAGTACGACCACCGCCACCATTGCTTCTACCACGGACTCACTGTTATTACGACGATTATTCATTGTTGTCCTCGTTTCCATGCCACGTACCTTACTCTCTCGCTCTCTATCCCGCTGCTTTTTTTGTCCCTCACTGCCTTTGTTTTACTTCGATATGTGCCAGATGCATTTATTGATACTACTTTCTGGTGACGATATTTTGTTCTTATTCTGTACAGACAGGCAGAGCTCGTCCGTTTTACTGATTTTCTTCTGTCTCTCTCTTTCTATGATGTGCGAGCGCACACTTATAAATAACGGATTACCGATCATCATATGGAACTATCTCACCCGGAGAATGTTTATACCTTCATCCCACCCCCGGTCTCATTGTGTCCACCCCCTTTCGTTTTCGATAACTTATTCTGGCAGTCGTCTACAGTCAATTTTCTTTGCAACATTATTAGTGAGAGTAATCATCTAAGAGTCTGACTGAACTTGTGCTATTTCATTTCCTTTTTTTTCTGATTTCTCTCCATCCTCATCACAATTTACTTGGGGCCGATCGGTCGGTTTACGATCCTTGGTGGTGAATCGAATATTCTCTTTTTTTGTGTGTGTACAGTTAGCGCCGTCTCAGCTCCTGCTGCATTTTGAACCTCGTTCTTTTTTCTATCCTTACAGTTGTTTTGTCCCCAAACTGAACGAAATGTCATTCTTGTGTGTTCTTGTGAGGGTGGTGGGTATTGCGTGGACGGCAAATTTATGAGTTGAATAGGGTCTAAATTACACTGGGATGTCTGAATCATCAGCTAGTTATGTGATTCACAAGAATCTCTGGCTGATGCTGATTGGTCGTTTTCCTCACTGGATAAGGCACACCAGAATGGGAAGCAGTGCCCTCAGGTTTCGGTCTTACTGGGACTCGTCAAGACGGTTACTTGGTCTTCGATCGAGTTCTTGAACGTAGCAGACACGTTGCTCAAGCTTGGTCGTGTTCGCCTGTGGTAATTCGGATGCCTTGTTGGAGTAGTTACAACGCACCACTAGTCTTGACTAACCAAAGTCCTGAGCATATTTATCTCTGATGAGCCCTTATGAAAGCGAAGTCCTAGCCCGGCGTATCCTCCCTTGCTGGAGACAAGTGTGAGACTTTGCGGTATTAGAAACCACGTTACGGATTATATATCCAAAAAAAGAACAAAAGCAGGAAAATCTGGCCTGAACTGAATTTGTCAGTCAGCAGCACCAGATCGTTCAAAAATAACTTGAAAAACGATTCGTTTCCTACTCTGCTTTTTGGATGCCAAATCTGTCCTTGTCCTCCAGAAATTTGTGTCGAGCTGCTCTCCTGAAGGGCCACAGTTGGCCGTTGTACTGGTATTTTAGGTTGCAAGGGGCTTCTCTGATGCGATGTTTTGATGTCTCGACGAAACGTCTGTCGAAGTGGTTTCATCAATCTTATGAGTATTATGTTACTTTTAAGCAAAAATGTCAGACCTTACTACGAGTGGGCTCCCCTCCCCACCTGCTCAACAGCAGTCTCTGAGGGACAGATCATCGTTCGCTCTCGTACCTCTGTTGGTCGATCAATGATTCAAGTCATTGGTATCACGAGACTCCCGCTGACTTTTATGGTTCCACCACTGGACATTACCAAAATTCTACGGAATATCGATTAGCTCTCGGTCATAGTCTAAGGATGATACTACTGATTAGGGAGGCACGTAGACCCTCCTAGGGGCCGGGCGAAGGCGGCCCTGGATGCGTCCAGAAGAGGCCCTCAGAAGATGGACTGGGCCGCCGCGAAGAAAGTCCTTTCAGCGGAGTTCGACACGCCGGCCGACCGCCAGGAGGCTATGAGGCGGTTCAAGACGGCCAGGATGGCACCCGGATCGAACCCGACCGTGTTCTTCGCCGGCCTGCAGCAGTTGTTGGATCGCGCTTTGCCGACGCTGGACGGAGTGTCGCGACACCAGTTGCTGTCGGATCAGTTCGTCGAAGGTGTGCAGCCCGCGCTCGGTGCCCAGTTGCGGTTGGCACGAGCAACTGGCCAGTTGAGTGTGGAGGAGCTGGTGCGTCTGGCCCGGGAGCTGCCCGAGGAACCACTGGCCACGTTGCAGTCGCAGGAGAACAGGGATGCTGCATCAGTGGAGGAACTGCAGACCAGGGTGGACCAACTCACCGAACAGCTGGCGGCCGTGAAGACGGAATCGCGGAGGCACACTCGAACCAGCCGGTGCTACATGTGTGGCAGGCCTGGCCACTGGAAGAATCAGTGTCCCCGTAACCGATCGCTTGTACACAATAAAACTTTAGAGTACTCCTCTTTTCCTGGGTGGGTCGCGATTAGCGCACTGACACAAGCTACCGTACAAGCCATTGTCGAGGTAGACGGGAAAAAGGAGTTATGTTTGATTGATACCGGAGCAGGCGTATCGCTGAGGCAAAGAGGGAACCAAGCTGAACACAGACCGTGCGCGCTAGCCGTGAGAGCTGTTGGCGGATATCGATTGAAGATTGACGGACTGTCAACGCACTCGATACGCCTAGGCGACAAGTCCGTGCAGCACGCGTTCCTGATCAGCCCAGACGTAGAGCAGACAATATTGGGAGCTGATTTTCTCAAGGGCACAGATGCCGTGATTGACCTAAAGCAGGGAAGGCTGGTGACAAAGTATGGCGCAATCAAGCTTGAAGGTTATCCAGGCACTGTCGTGAGGGAGCTGTGTGTCCGAAAACTTCCGTCTTGTAATGTATCGTCAATACGGGCCGTGGTTGAGGAATATTCCGAACTGTTTACGGGCGATGAGGATCCGTTTGGCTTCTGCCCGTGGATTGAACACGAAATTCCTCTGTCATCAGAACGCTTTCGACCTTATGGCCCCCGTCCGTTGCCGCTCCATCTACGGGAGGAGGTCCATAGACAGATTCAGGAGATGTTGAAGAATGGTATAATCGAAGAAGCCAACAGTGCGTACAATTCCCCAGTTGTGCTTGTAAGGAAGACGAACGGAAAATACAGGTTTTGCGTGGATTTCCGGCGCTTGAATGAACTGACCGTAAATCGGGTTGTGGCTGTGCCTTCGGTTGCAGAGATTTTCGATTCCCTCCAGCACTCCCGATACTTTACTGTGTTCGACTTGCGTTCCGGATATTGGCAACTACCTATCAAGGAGGAGGACCGGGAGAAAACGGCGTTTACGGTTGGGGACATCCAATATCAATTTAGACGAATGCCGTTTGGTTTGTCCGGGGCACCATTCACATTCCGGCGCTTGATGCTTCGTGTAACCAAGGGACTCCAGAATGTTGCCGTGTACGGAGACGATATCGTTGTGTACAGCAATTCGGAACCAGAGCACGTAGTTCACTTGAAGGCTGTGTTGGAGCGGATCCGGGAAGCTGGCCTGCGGATAAATGAAGCCAAGACACAGCTCGCTCGGAGTTCGGTGACACTGCTGGGGCATAAAGTGGGTGAGGGAGAAGTTAGCCCACTGCCCGAAAAATTAGCAAAGATCAAGGATTGTGCTGTTCCCAATTCAAAGCGGTCTCTACGGCAGTTTCTTGGACGAGCAGCATACTACAGCCGGTTCGTTAAGGATTTCAACAAGATCGCTGCGCCACTGTACGATTTGCTCGGTCAAAATCGGAAATTCGAATGGACCGGAGAAGCACATGAAGCTTTTGAGCGTGTCAAAGCGCGGATGTCGGATCAGCAACTGACCCTCAAACTTCCCAGGGTCGGAGAGATGTTCATTGTTGCAACGGACGCCAGTGATCGCGGTATCGGCGCAGTCCTAAAGCAGAGGAATGGAGTTATCGAATATGCCAGTCGCGTCCTGACTAACGCTGAACAGAAGTACTCCACCATTGAGAAGGAATGTTTAGCGATCGTCTGGGCCCTGGATAAGTGGAGACCATATCTGCTTGGGCAAAGGTTTCATGTCGAAACCGATCACAAACCCCTGGAGTGGATCAGGACCACCAGAGATCCTCGCGGGAAGCTCGCACGCTGGGCACTCCGGTTGCAAGAGTACGACTTCACAATCCAGCACGTGCCCGGGAAGGAGAACCACTTGGCTGATTGGCTGTCAAGGCCAGAGGCTGAAGATGAGGTCCCCAAGATCATGATTGGAGCCAATGGCCTCGTCGTCGAACTGGATCCCGGAAAGTTGGTGCAACTCCAACGGCAGGATCCGGTGTTACAAAAGGTTGCAGCCGCCTTGTTGGATGGAAGGAACATTGAGAACGGAGAAGGAGACAAGGAATTAGAAGCGTTCCAGAGTCACTTTGATCGGCTGAGGCTGAATGAAGCTGGCATAATTTCCTGGAACGCCACTGATTCAGATGTGGTGCTGCCCGTGATACCTCGCGTCTTGAGACGGAAGCTCATCGTTGAATGCCATGAGATGGCACATACAGGGTGCACCAAAACATACGACCTACTTCGGCAGAGGGCCTATTGGCCCGGGATGAGAAGTGAGGTGATGGATTATGTGCTGTCTTGTAAGCGTTGCCAACTAATGAAAGCGGATACGACAGGGGCAACCCATCCCATGGAACCCATTCCTGTCTCAGAAATAGGCGAGTTATGGTCAGTTGACGTCATGGGCCCCTTCCCGGTGACAACCAGTGGGAACCAATACATCGTGATGATGACAGAACACCTGTCGCGATGGATTGAGGCGGCAGCCGTGCCGAATCAGCGGGCGACGACGATCAGCGGAGTGGTAATGCATCACATTGTGGCCAACCATGGGGTGCCAAAAATGATCCTAACCGATCAGGGGCCTTGCTTCGAGAGCGAAGAGTTTCGTAATTGCTTGCAGAAGCTGGGTATCAGACGGCTAAGGACGGCACCATACCACCCGCAAACAAATGGCCTGACCGAACGTAACAACCGAACGATCAAGGAGTGGCTTGCGGCCAAAGGAGGTGACTGGGAAATGAACTTGCCAATGGTGTTGTTAGCTCATCGTGCTTCCACGCAGTCAACCACAGGCAAGTCCCCGTTTATGTTAATGTACGGTCGACATCCGCGCCTTCCGGTTGATCAGGAAATTGGGTTGTGGCCGGCAACACGCTTGTCTCCGGAGGAGCTAGAGGAAGAAAGAAAGAGAGCTCGAGAAAATTTGACCGCCGTTCAGGAAAGGGCTAGGCAGAAAACGGCAAGTAGAAAGGTCCGAACGTTCCCCGTAGGCACGAAGGTCAAGTGGAAGGATCACCAGAATCCTGGAAGGAGTGGACTGGGGTCGCGGAAGCTGGGCAGTCGATGGCAAGGGCCGTTTGTCGTCACCGACCGCCGGGGGAACGTCTATACCATTCAAGATGGTCGGGGATCGAAAGTAGTGAATGGGACGCAGCTTCGCAAGTGGCATGATACACCTGAAGAGCGGCCGAGCAGACCCGCTGCCGAAGCCGACCTGACGGAGGTAAATGAAAATCGATGGCATGCGAACGAGCTTTAAGGGGTGGAGGTGTGTAACGGTGATACTACTGATTAGGGAGGCACGTGAGTAGTATGTGTTGTTCGTAGAATTTCGCTTTGCGTCGATTGAAAAATGGGATTCTGTTGTGGAATTCGTGGGGCCACTTCGTAACATTTGCTTGGATTTGACCGACGAATGAGTGGTGGCAATGAATCTCTAGGAAGACTCGTTCGGGAGAAGATCTGTGTCCAGTTTTTGTAACTAAGATGCAGATTAGAGTTTTGCTGCCCTGTTCAATGGTTTGTAACCGGTCAGTTGGCGTTTCCGAATAAATAACTCCGC